CCAGATTGTCTGCGTGGAGTGTGTATTTACATGTGCTGTAAACCTACCTGTTGATGGAAGAGTGCTGGTGAGGGCCTGAGGAACTTTTCCTTCAGTGCTCCTACAGGGTCGAGTAGCTTCCTCTTTTCCACCCTGCTGGACCAACAACAAGGCAGAGGGTTACGTACCAAGGTCACAGTTCATCTACAGCCAGCAACCACACTCTAACCACCAACCTCTATGTTTTTCAGTGTTCTTCAATGTGTGTACATAAAAAAAACACTGATCAGGGAATGATTTCTGGTCAAATCGGGGCTGAAATACCTGTATATGGGGTCCATAAAGAATGCTGAGGGCTTGGCGTAGTGCAGGGGTGGTGGCTGGTGTGGCTGTGTCTGGGGCTGCTGGTGCTGGATGATGGAGGACTGGTGCAACGACTGGGAATGTGGGTGTGGAAAGCCAGCTTGGGTTTCGTCTTTGATGGAGACCCCCTTTCCAACTCCATAGATGTGGTTCTTTCGATTCTGTGGTTCAGTTGCCACGCCATTATGACCACCTCGGCTCCGGCTGCCAATGCTGAGGTCCAACGGCTGTTCTTCACTGCTAGATATTGCTAAAGGTCCACTACTACTCCCAGTACTACTGTTGGATTTTGAGCGGTTTGTTGGGGTGGGAGGTGCTAACTTGGTCTCCTTGGGCTTTGTGGTGAGATCAAACGGTGACTCTGCTGTGGGAGCAGGAGCTCCCGGGGCACCAGAAACAATCTTGTGCAGCTGCTCGCGAGGTGACTTGGGGTCTGCCTTAAAGAACATGCTAGGATTGAGGGTACCTTGATCAGCACTGAAGGGATAGAGGGAGCTGTGAAAGTTGGGCAAAAACTGGAAGGGAAACATGGAATGGTATGGCAGTGGTCCCATCTTCTTCTCCTGATGAAGACCAATCAAACCTGGACCAAAATATTTCTCAGCAATAGAGGCAATGGCTTTGATGGAATCCGTGGTGGCTGCATTAGCATTTGTTGTGGTGGGTGGGAGGACTTGCTCATCAGGGGGAGGGAAGAAGGAGTGGTGAGATGATGCAGAAGAGAGAAATGGACGATCAATAGCAAGGTTACCCGAACTAGACATGGCTGATATCAATGCACTGCTCGTGTCGTCTAACTGGTGCCCCTCTTGACTTGATATAGCCCCAGATGGCTTCCTTCTTTTACCACTGTGCTCACGTTCACTCTCTCCATCACTCTCCAGGTCAGTACCATCACCTGAAGCAGTACCAGTGGTGGTATCCAAATCTGTCCCGCTTGTGGTATTAACATCTTCAAGGTCACTACCGTCAGACATGTCTGTAATCTTAGATTTTGGCTTGGCTTCTCCACTAGAAGACAAATCCAGTTTGTTTTCTTTCTCTTTGTCTTCTTGACTCAAACTGTTGCCTCCATTACTGTTTGTGGAGCTAACCAAGGACAGTGGAGGGGCATCTAGGGGACTCCGAGGCAGCTTCACCTCCTGACTGCTGCCACCCAGTGGGCTCTTTATCAACGAACTGGCCGGCAATAAAGGTGGTCGTGGATACAGTGATGGGGGGAAGATACCTGGGAAGCCATGTGGGAGTGATGGGAAGCCATGGGGTCCTGGGGAGAAGGGCAAGCCAGCGTGAGGATGAGGTCGGGAGGGAAAGAAGTCAGTGAATCCTAAACCTGACTGGTTTAGACCTGGAAGGTGGGGATGATGAGACTTGGCCTTGGCCATGATGGGGCTGGAGCTCATGGGAATGCCAGGGTTGAACATCCCTGCAGGAGAGCCATAATGGTTTTTGCCCTCACAGAAGCGGCGGTGCTTGTTGAGGGAGGAGGTAGTGCTGAACAACTGCCCACAGTCCTTACACTTGATTTGAGTGCGGCAGTCAGCGTGCATACGCTTGTGGCGGCAGAGGTTGGAGAATTGGGTGTAGGATTTGTGGCACACCTCACCTGGGGGAGCAAAAAGACGCAGCCCATCAGGGCCTGGTTAAACCCATTTTAACACTGTCTCTAACTCTGTATACCAAATCAACAGCAACACATACATCTGAATGTAAAGGGCTGGTCAAGTAGCTGTAGAGACGTAAGGGACTGTTTGAAATCAGTGACTCATTCTGTAAATCGAACCCGCCAAACAATTACAAAACAAATGCAAGACAATTACTTCAAAGAGAGCAAAAGGTCTCTGATACATCATTTAAAATTGTGTATCAGTTTTCTTGTGTTATTATTATAAAATAGTCCGCAATAATTTAATGTATGGGTAATAATGTTTTGTTAAAAGAAACAGGTGAACAGGTCAAAAATATTATTTGCAGTATATAATTAATAGCAAAACAAATATGATCTCTGGACGTGTGCTTGGTTCTGAAGATGCAAACAGAATCATAAAGCTAGTTTTGCTGGAGAAGAAAGAGACTGCATGGCAGAGAATTAGGTAGGGTAGAATGAAGAGAGATCAGTGTACTAGTAAGGAGTAAGATGGTGACTAATGTCCAAAGCTCTGACTTACAGATAAAAGGTTTGACACTGCTGTGGATGTGTTTATGCTGTTTGAGGCCTGATGAAGTGGCAAAGGTCTTGCCACATTCAGGACATGTGTGAGCACGTGCCCCCACATGCTGGGAGCGGATGTGGCGCTGAAGGTTGCTGGGATCTGTGAACACCTGAAATTTGAAATAAGCATATAAAAGTACAATTTACAGCATAATTAACAATGCAGTTGTCCTGTTTTGTATGGGACTGTTAATGAAAATATACAGTTTTCATTGCGTTAATATGTATAAGGTATGCTTTGATATCAGAGTTACTAAATATGTCCAGTACCATTATGAATGAAGCCTAATTACCAGAGTAGCAGAATTTCTGAAGCAGAAAAAGCCTGTGTGTCCTGTGCACAACTTACGTGCCGGGTATGCTGTACCTTATCACAGTTTTCACACTCAAAGCGCTTGCCACTGTCATGTGACATCTGGTGACGGATGAGGTTGGACTTCCAGTTGAAGGCTTTGGGGCACTGGTCACACTTGTATTCCCTCTCCTCTGTGTGGACTATCATGTGTTGGCCCAAGCTTCAATGAGAGCAAGAGAGTTCATCAGTGAATCATAAGATAAGTGGCTATGTGTTGACTGTGTCTGTCTTTTTAAATAGTGAAATGTTTTAGAAATTCTAATCAAGCGTCTGTATACCTGTACTCATTTGGGAAGATCTTCTCACAGTCTTTGCACTCATGGACAGGCTCATCACTGTCCTCACGTTCTTGTTTGAAGTCCTCTCTCAGTGTGTCAAAGATGGAGCCAGCACTAGAGCAGGAATACTTCTGGTGCCGCCGTAGCTCCAGCGCTGAGGAGAACAGCTCATCGCAGCCTTCACAGCGGTACATCTGCTCATCTGCTCATGCACACAAAAACACAGATTTGTTTAGCACCACACAATTAAGCTCACTGACATACAGTGTAATATCCACTGAAATCCACCTGAGCTGTGCGAAGAAAGCATTTACAAACTGTTTGATATGAATAATAAATGTTTAAATGTTTGAGATGAGTGAAACAACAATATAAATGTACAAAATCCTTACTGATTCCCACTGTCAAAACTGTTTTCCAGTTGTGTTTTAAAAATCCTCCCCACAGATTGTGTTGCAGTTTCAAACAATAGACTATCTTACATAAAAAAGCAGCTTTTTTTACAAGCACATATTAATCAACATAAAATTTAGCTCAATTTAAAAAAGTCCACACAAATAAAAGAAAATGTGAAAACTTTGAGTAACATTCTCCAATTTTATCTTCACATCAACTAATTGTAGCTTCTCTTACCATGTTCTTATTAATATTATTAGGTGCAAATGAGACCTCTGACAATTTACATCATTAATGGATGACATTTTACTGTGCCTACTGGCTTTAATGTATGTAAAAAATGAATGAGCGAGTGCTTGTTTCTTGCAGGTTGCATCTTCACAGAGATGCAAAACCAAGTATCCAGTTGCACATAAGAACAGGTGATGGTATTAAATAAGGACAAAAGTCAATTAACAATCTGTGTGTTAGTTACAGCTAAATAGACTTCAAACGGTAAAAGCAACAAACCTGCAATTGACATTCACATAAAAGGGGAATCAATTAGCAGTGAGATATAACCTTCATTAACACAGTTAATTGCTTGTTAAAGCAAGTGTTTGCATGAGACCATAGCTGTAATAGCACACAGGGGAAACAATAGGGGCTGGTCTTCCCCTTCCGTGTTGATAACCTTTACAATACTTCTCACCACCAAGGTCAAATACATAAAACTTGAGCCAGCCTTTTCAATAGCAAGTTCCTGAGTCAGATGCCAAGTTCAACAGATCAGGGGAAAGCCTGCAGGGGTGTCTACGCACGGGCATAAATGTGTATGTGTGAGTATGTGCACATGCTTATGTGAACATTTTCCAAAAAGAATGAGCCACAAGGACCAGAGGTAAGCTGGGGCACAGTGGCGCCAACCCCATGGTGGTTTCAGTGCCAACCTGCCATCTTTGCCATGACCCAAGCAGCCAATGCCTGAATCAGGTCCCCAGGTGTCCCAGCATGCCATGCACGCCCATCCATCATTTCAGGCTGGACTCAATGAGTTTATCCAAAATGACTTACACTGCATGGCTCACCTGTTTTCTACTGCATGTGACCGTTTATCCAGCTGGAACTTCTTGGACACATTAAAAGGGCATTAGTGTAGCAACATCAATGTGTATAACCTTGGGGAGAAGGATAAATGACCTTCTGGTCAATGGGCCATTACGCTGAACTCAAATGCTAAACTAACTGGCTCACTTTGACATCGGTGTGCACATATATCACAGAGTGGTATATGTAAGAAAGGCTTTGTTTGTCATCTTTGAAAGGGAAACAAAGAGCTGGCTCATAATAACTGCAGTGAACTCTGCTGAATTTAACATATGGAAATGTGTGTGGGCATAACAAAAGTACTGGAAAACCCCTCTTCCAACATGGATCCTGAGAAATCCTGGCTGGATCCATGTAAGGTGCTTGTGTGTGTGCATAGGCGTGCCTGCATATTTTCAGTTAGTCTGGTCTGGGCGGGTGGGGTGGAGGGGTTATAAAGGGGAGACTAATAGCTCTCTGGGAGACGGAGGGAAGCACAATTATGTGCAGTTTAGCAGCTAATCTGGGAGCATGGGTGAGGTCTCAGGGGACTCCTCAAGTCCTCTACTTCAAATTCCGTCTCCGATAAGCTAGATACAGAGAGCAGGGCTGCACTGCCAAGCTCCCACTCAGTCCTGCTACCTTTCTCTCTCACTCACACAAATACATGGAGACAAGCACAAAAGCAGACACTTTCATCCCTATATGTGGACTGTCACTGTCTCACCTCTGTTTTTTTCAGTCTCTCTCACTCACAAATAAACATCCTCAAACAGCAGATGAACTTTAATGCACACGCTCCTAGAACACGCCAGTCCGCTTCTTTCCAATACCGAAGCCTTCTGTTTCTTTTTCGCGGAGACCTGTGCATAAACTGTGCATCATGCACGGGGGAAACTGGTGAACATCTTGCTCCACCTCCACCATCTTATAAGCAATGACAAAAAAGAGTAATCTCGTTTCCATCCGTGGACTGGAAACACAACAGCACGACCATACCTGACAACAACGTGTCACCACATTAAATCCAAGATGTTTTAAAGAAATACAAGGGAACTGCAGCCTCCTTTTCCGCTTAAGTGAACTTAAAAAGAAGAGCCCAGACTAACAGTGAACAGCTGTCCAAGTTAGATTATAAGATAAAAATATTGTGCATATTCAGCCTGACATGGATGGACGGTTGAAAGGCGGTGAATGCACCGAGTCGGGTTACGCGCTCAGAAGGGAGACGAGTGGGTGAGACCACCTAAAAATGTGACGCACTTTGAAATGTGAGCCAATTTGCCTACAACAATGTACAGCAAAATGTAGCGGAGCACTGAACGCACACGACCTGGCGACTGTTAGAGCTGAAAGCAGGAATCCAACAGGAACACACAGAAATTCATCTGGAAGACACGTTTTTCCTCAGCACCAATTTCCATTCACTTACTCTTCAACTAGAAAGGTGCGCGAAAAGACACCTGCATTATAAAAGCAAACTTCGGGCTCCCGTGACGTTTATTAGCGAACCCATTTTACAGTATGTCCGTTTAAACCGGAATACTATAAGTTGATCCACATTTTCTAAAAACTCGAACCAAGGCCAGATTCCCGGGGGCATCACTTCACTAAACGCATGAGTCAGTGACTTTGATAGACTAACGGGCCTAGATTATCCAAATGGCCACTAGAACGAACACAAACGCTTAGGCTGAATTGCTGGTGATAAATCAGACTTGATCTGACAATAACAAGATATTGTAGCGTCCCGCAGGACACAAGGAAGACAACCGGTTACTGTTGGCCGTAACCACGCCAAAACAACAGCCCAACAACACCAAGAAAAAAAATTAACAACCTGCTAACTCCCTCTGTAGCTCAAATCCCCTCCACCCTTCTCTCCCTCCCGCTCTCACACCTCTTAACCCCTGAAGCTCCACACCCATCAAGGAACCATAACAATTTAGAACATCATAACATGCCAAGTGAAGGATCTCTACAATATTATTAGATTCTTCTTTATCCGATGTGATATAGAAATTCTAAACTGGCAGCTTCAAGGCCACAAGTGCTCATTGTAATGTGTGTTTTCCGTTAACAGAGAATTTATCCTTACTTAACATGGAATATGACAAGTGCCAACAGTGTTTGAGGCAAAGATGCGCACATTTCAGAGCAGACTCTTAGGAGGAGCCTATTTTAAATGACAGCTCCAAAAGGGCCTTCTACCTGATGCTCTAATGTGGGATTTAATCCCATCCTGGAAAATTTTGTATTCAAATAATTCATATTTCTTGTGGGGAAAAAATACTTGTGGGGAGAGAATATGCATATTCGTTCCGTCACATCACGGGGTTACGGAGTGTGCTCGCAGCAAAAGCAGCACAGGATGCAGGTTGCAGTTTGTTTAAAATGTGCGCTAATGACGCGCATTAATCTTACCTTGTAAGTTAGGTGCCATGGATCCCTCGGGAAAAATACCGTCCTTCATATACACTAAAAGCTCCTCCCCTGCTTCAATGTCCCGGACAGCTTTATAATAAATCTGAGGAGAGAGAGAGAGAGAAAGAGAGAGGGGGACTTTAACTTAGGGTCAAAATGGAATTAATAGCCTAAATCTGGGCCCCCACATATTTATTATCGCAGTAAAAGGACTGGACTAATGTTTGAACTGATGCTATTAGCATATTAATCTGTTATTAAGAAAATAAACCACCAGCAATAGGCTACCTAAAATAAGATCATCTAGGCTGCCACTGAAAGACAATATGTTTAGCAGAGATGCTCACTACATTTCCAAATGTATTTAAATACTGGTCGTCAGAGGTTATTTTATTTTATGACACACGGTGGTTTATTTTATTCCACATGTACTCAAACTCTGCAAAGTAAACAAAACGAATATAGCTCTCTTTTTTTTACAAATCACACAAATAAAACACAAATTAGAAAGGCTGCGTTCTTTCAAAAATAATTACTCAACATTCAAACAAAGAAAGTGCAGAGGAAAACCAGAAATGCTGCTGTAATAAATCGGAACAGTCTGAAAATAAAGTGGAGAGTGTAACAAAAATAAACATCGAACAGCTCGAGGTGCCTTCGTGCGTTTTTTAATTTACAGCTGCAACAGTTCGGGAAATGCCGATTATTTATCTGCATAAAACAACCCATTTGATTGAGGCCATTTAAATGACTCGATCGGGCATTAATTATTACTGGATTGTGAGGTTTTTGGTATGAATAAAGACAAGGACAACGGAGAAAACAGGAATAAATGTATGGCAAAATCCGAGGCCGAGTCCAGGCCTTAACCTGTTTCTATCCAACACTTAGAAAACGGTGGGCCAAACTAAACTTACACTTACAGGCTAAAGAAACTTCATTAATCTGGGTCACAATTAGTAGTTTTACAATGAAAAATATTCCACCTTCTTGCATCCCAGTGAACCACACCGCAACCAACCACTTCGACCTGACAGAAGGTGTGATGTCTGAACACCTGAGGGCGCTCTGCACCAATCCAACGATGCCACCACAACAAGGAAAGCAGAGCACACTCATTCATGAGTCGTGCACACAAACACACAGAAACGCTGCTGAAACTAACTTTCAGGACTTGGAGCTCTTAAGACGAGACCGGAAACAAGCGCCCAAATCAATGAAATATTGTACATAGGCTTTTGCATATGTTGCATTATTATTATTATCATTATTGTTATTATTATTATTAACAGCAACTAATACCAACAATAACAGGTAGGCTAAATACTGTTTCTAGTCTTTTTGGACCTGACCTTTCTTTTCTCCGTGAGACGGAAGAGTTGAGAAAGTTGCGCGGCGCTACGGAGAGCCTCCAGCTGCAGTAGCACTTCAGTCCCGGTGGAGTTGACGACACAGCCCATAGTAGATCTACCTGAGAGTGAGCGGGGCGCGGGAGCGGACAGGGCCGGGGAGAGGAGACTACGGAGCGGCCGGGCGCGCTGCGAACGGTCGGTGATCGTTTCCTCTGGCTGGATGAAGCCCGACGCTCCTCTACTGGGCTACTCTCTGATCTAGTCAGTGAGCGCGTCTTTGATGAGGAGGATGATGATGATGAGTCTCTCTCTCTATCCCTCTCTCTCTCTTCCTCTCATTAGTGATTCCCTGTTGCCCCTTGGTGCTCTTTCGGTACCCCGTCGGCCACTCCTCCTCATCTTATCTCCAGCCAAAAGGATTGAGGGATCTGCGGCGCAGACCCCTCCCCACATCTCCGATCCCAGCCGCCGCTTTGCCCGCCTGATAAATCTATTATTGATGTAAATAATGGATAAAGCAGCCTGACAGACTTGCACTTACCATATGAGCCACTCTGTCACTCTCAGACACATTCATATTGCCCGGACAAACACGAACAGATAAGCCCAGAAAATGTATCAATAGGCCCACGGGTAATGTTACTTAACTTTAGTTCGAAATGCAGTAACATGATTTCTTTCAGTTTCTTCCAGCCTGGCCTAAAAATAACCACTAACAATGGGAGAAATTTATTTAAACTCTGAGGTCAAGTTTGGTTTAAACGGGGTCAGAATTGTAACTGGAACAATAAGATGATTTAACACAACGTGTAAAACTGAAAATATCTTTTAAAACATTGATTAAATAGTTCAATTACTATCATTTATTAACATTAATATTTGATGTTTTGTAGCAAAAAAAAAAAAAACATTCTATGAGATACCGATGTGGTTCTTGGAAAAAAAACACACTTGAAAAAATGTATAAAGGACAAAAAGTATCAATAACCTGTTTATTTACCTAGACAATTTGTTATATGCAATATTGCATGGAATTAGTTTATTTCATAAAATAGCTTAATTAGTGATATTTATGACAGTTTCCTCATCTGATGACCTGATTATGGAGCAGCATACACTACATATTTTTATCTTTTCAATGAATAAACCAGTTAATAAATAAATTTTAATTACATTCCTAATTAACAGTGTTTGCAGCATTTTGAATCTATGTTTCTGTGTGTGTGTCTTCTACAGTGAGGCCCGCACACTCAGACCCGTCTTGACCTCTTCCCAACTCTGTCCAGTGTTCAGGGGACAGATGCCTCATCGATCAATGCCAGCCGCAGGGCCCGCAATGCTCTCCTGCTGAGGCCTCATATACACCCACCCACCAACACATGCACACACAACAGTGTCTATTTATTGATAGATCCACTGGGGGTAGAAGTGCACATCAAACAGCACCACCACAAAAAACAAAAGATGAAGGACTGGTGGATAAGGTTCATCTTCTCTTCACACACACACACACACACACACACACAGCACCCGTCGCACTCTCTTAGTCATTTCCTTCATTACATGCAACTTGGCCTTAGAAACACTGGCTGGGCCCACTTAGGCACCAGTGCTGGGTGATAGTTGGCATTCAAAACAAATGGGAAATATTTCATTTGGATACACACATATAAACTCACACATGCACTTACACACACAAACACACACTCACATTGGAAACTTCATGTGCCTTGTTTGGTTTGGCCATTATTTAAGAAACCTGAATATTGCATTAGGATGAAATTGCAGGCAGGATTAAGTGAGAGCAGTTGCTGGAAATGCGTGTGTGTGCACTTGTGCGTGCATGTCAGGACCAACTGAGAACAACAGAAAAATGCAGATGTGTACACGACACATTTCTGACAGACACTAGAAAAACGTGAAAACCAACAACCCACCTAAACAAACCGTTTCCGTAGAACTGTGTGCACTTGATGTATATGGAACAAAAGCAGTATATAGAACAGTGCCAAACTACTGCGTTATCATAAATATCTAAATTATTTATGCTCATATATATGTTTATTCATCTTACATCATTAATAGCAAACAAATTATCCACTTGTTTTTTAAAAGGTTACTCCCTGCATTTGAATTTGCCCCATGTGCACACATTTCCATAAACTCATGCACTGTAGATGCTGAAAAATAAACCTGAATAGTCTGTTAAATTATACATTTTAGCACTGAGTGGCTGTGTGTCGTGTTTGTTAATACTAAATGTTAGGGTCATACCTGTGAGCCAGTACGCCAAGCAACTGCTCAGGCAAACAAAAGCGAGGCCACTTGTTAAGTACAAACAACTGCAAAAGACAGCAAATAGCACCCGTGCACGTGGCCTCTTCTATCCGATAATTCTCCGCAATTTTCGTCGGTGCCATGATTCTTTCTTTGACATTGTGTGGCAGTGGCAGGGGGCACTGATGTGAAAATCTTAAAAGGATTAGGCAGGTTGGTGTTGCCAGCCAATTGGTGCTTGTCAATCTCGGAGGCCCCTGTGTGCTCCCTCTCTTGCTTGGTGCAAGCCCCCTTTCTCTCTATCGGTCAGGCTTAATGACTGAAGCTCAGATGGACACACTAGCTTGTCCCCTCAGTGTGACAGAGTGACAGGTGGCAGATCAAGACATGACGACAGAGAAAGGAGACAAAGACAGCGAGGAACAGGCGGCTAGAGATGGAGACAGGAGGGGAAAAGAGCCATGTAGGCAGGGATTAGGAGACAAATAACAGTGGAGTGACAGGAATGTGGAAACACACAGGCAAGTCACATGGATGCATTTGACTACTGTCACACCTCATGTTATGTTAAAGCATCAATTCATCTTATTCCCTTTTCTTGGTTTGTTTTTCCAGCATTTATTTTCTGAAATTCTACACTTCTTCTATCCCAGTAAGTTGTGAGTTATCATCAGTCCAAACTGAAATGAAATTGAAATGTGTGTGAAATATTGACAGAGTAAAACCACTGGTATTTCACTTGCAGAAATTAGAACAAGATTCAGCAAAGCAAAATAGAAAAAAAAAAAAAAACAGCCTGAGCAGGATAAACAGAGAACTACTGTATGCTAATATATTGCAGGAGAAAGCTGTGGCACACATTGGGTTGAGGTTAGGGCCTAGTTAAGTAGCTGGGGTTTAATGAGCACTGGCTGCCCAGGGATCTTTACAGAGACAGAGGAGATGGGACATAAGAACCAAAAAGAGAGAAACTTCACAGAAGCAGACCCTGCTTTGGATGATGGTTGTTTTCAGGCTTTGGTGTGTCAGGCTATTCTTCTGCCTCTTTACATGGGTCATTTCCAGTAATGGCATAGCCTCAGACCCTTGGTCTCTATTACCACATACATTTTGCCACCACAGTGGTCAGCACAGAGAAAAGACGTGCACACATGTTAACACAGGTGAACCTGGTGTCCACTACTAGCGGATGGGAAGCAATAACAGCCACTCCCCTCTCATCTCTATTTCTTGCTGACAACACGGTGCTGTTTCTTTTATATTTGAACTACAAATTCAGCCAGGACACCTCTGTCATGTCACTCACCTGGTCTCCAGTGAGGTGACAGGCGGCAAGGTTCTGCTCCTCAAACGACAGGGCAGAGCGGATGTATTTGAGCCAGCTGTTGCTGTTCACATCCGGGCCTGTGTCCAGCGCAAACTTGACATTGCCCATGTCGTCCACCACCTGTTGGAAAGTGACAGGTTAGGCAAAAATACATTTATGGCGAACAGTGGGTTATCATCCACTTCTACATTCTACCAAATCACTTCTACATCTGACATTTTCCAAGGAGGTTCTGTACAGTTAAAAATATAACACTTTAAAGGGGAACATCAGGCTTTTCCAGGAGTCTGATGTCACTCAACTTTAAGAAAAATAAAACATTTGAGAAGGTGTAAGGGCCACCTAACCATATCAATCCAGACAACTAGAAAATGAAATAGGGAAGGGAGGAGAAAGGAGGGAGTGAACAAACTGTGGCTTCTTTCACTTGTCTAAAGACTTTCTCTGCCACATATTGATCACCCTGTGTAACCCCTGTACCCCCAGAGACTCTAAGTGTGGGTGTCATGTTACCTGCTTCCACACAGAATGAAGGAGGTTGGCGATAGGGGTAAAGGAGGAAGAGGAGGAGGACAAGAAGAGAAATGGGACTTATTATGGAGTGAAAGGTGAGGGGGAAACCAGGAAGGAGTAACAAAGCTTTGTTTTTCTGAAGAGAAAATGGGACCTTATATTTTACAAAATGAGTAAATAATGGCATATTTTGAAAAACAGAAAAGAAGATATAATTTTATGTTACACAACAATTAGTCCATTTGAGACTGAAAAGACAGTGCATATATTTTAAGTCAGAAGTGTTTTTCTTCCCCTCTTGGCTTTTTTGAGTGCATGTACGTGTATATTGATATATCTGTGTGTGGTGCTGGACAATCTGAAACCCACAGGCTAACCCTCTAACCAAGCTGAGGTTGAAGCTCCAATTTCACCCCGGCGCTGCGTGTGATACTGAGCCTGTGTGAATCCTCTGGGGACAACTGGCCTGAGAAAGAGCAACTCCTCTAATTACAAATCCCAATCAGTCTGGCCTGAGTTCAGCGCTGACCTCTAGCTTGACTCTCTGTGCTCCTAATCACAGTCAAATGTCTGCTGAAGGAAACCGAGGTGTGATGGAGAAGAACCAACAAACCAACTGACATTTTTAGATGTACTGTACAAAGTTCATGAACTTCTCTAACTGGCTGTTTTTCTGCATGCTGGTGTTTTATTCCCAGCTCATAAAGTGTGAATGGCCGTGTTCTTTTTGTCTGCGTGAGCATGTGCAGAAAGTGTATTTTTGTGGGTGGGGGTGCTGGTGCCAAATTTGGTGAGTAAATATGTAAGCGTCTGGTTGGAGGTGTTGAATAATGGCTGTGTGCTTGTTTCTACAAATACGGTAACTGTTTGAGGTACATGCGTGTATGCATGATTGAAGTAATGGCTTGAGGTAACATTAGTGTTGTGCTACTTTTGAGCCAAAGTGTGAGTGCACCCTCTTTACTAACTGTGCCTGCTTTAAAATAACAATAGCTGTTAGTGTCTTGACTAAAAATAATTGATAAAAAAAAATCGAACTACAGTTATGTGTAAAAACTCTGGGCCACAAGCCTGAAGTAAAAATGTAAATGTGGGGAAAAGGAAGTGTTCGTGTAAATCAGATCTTCTTTTGCGTAATTCACGCCGAGATAGTCAGAATGTGCAAGACACTGAAACGTATCCAGTCTTTACACTCCACACCTACTGCTGCTGCCTCCTCTGCTTCCAGTTTACAAGTTGAACACTCAGCTTGATCGAGTGCAGGCCTTTATTTTATGTGTGAAAACAGTCACTGAAGACTAACCAGGCATACTCCCTCAACCACACACACACCTACTACTCCACCCAATCACTTTTCAGCAGGCAGTGGAGTCAGAGCACACTTGTCACGGCATTGCTATGGAGCTGAGACAGGTATTGCATATGTTTTATGAATACATGGACAAAGGTTGAGGTCCAGGTGGAGTCACGGTGGGATTATTCCTTTTCTTTTAGGGGGAAAAGCTGTGGGAAGGGGGGTGGCGAATCTTGAGTCTGCAAAGATTGACGTGTGAATAGTGCTATGCAACCATTTTGAGCATGGTGGTGTTCATTCACACACACGGGTCCCCCTTCTCCTATACACACCCCAGGGTCTGATCGTGGGCTTAATGAGCAGCAGACCTATGTGTGTTGTGCTTTTTTTGCACATGAACATGTGTGCTGTCTGGGAGGCCTTATAACACCCTGTCTTCAGGTGGAAGTCTGATTTATAAGGCTTCAAATGAGGTGCAACAGAGAAGGAGAGCCAGAACAAGCCCACGGCTGATTGTTTGTTTATTTACCTTTTTTTATTCTCTCCTCTCTCCCCTCTCTTTATAGTACGTCACGTGGGTGAGGAGGACCCGGCTGGAAATCATGAGCTCCACGTGCGAAAGGGTTTCAACAAAACAAAGCCAACCTGGTTACTCAAAATTCTCCCCTAAACATTTTCCTCCTAGGTAAAATCAGAGGCTAGAGACAGAAAGTATGACACTAAAAATATCAGGAATGCTGCTTTTATATGAACAAAATGTTGACCTTCTTGCACCGACTCCAGCCACACCTTCATCTCTACAGTAACCTTTCTCATTCTGATTCTGCTCATTTGGACAGATCAACTATTCACTTCCAACCTAATTTACTGATCTTCTGTGTTCTACAGTTAAAGAAGACTTCCAGGTAATTACAAACTGGACTGATGATCACCAGTAATAACAAAATTCTTTTCACTACTTTAATTGCTACAATCTGGGAATGAGGCAAACCTGATTATAATACGTTTGACAGGGCAACACATGCCAGCAGTCAGGTGATCAAACAGGTTTTAAATAAAACCAGTATGTTATTCAAACCTTTAGGGGAAAAATAATGAAGAAGTAGTTCCCAAACTGCCCATTGTAAGCCTCCATCACAGTTTAGGAATCAGTTTCCTGGTTCAGCTTTACCGAACAGCTGCAGTAGTGAATACACAAGAGCTTCTTTGTGCAATGAGTGCTACTGTCTACATTTCAGGGACATCCAATTGTGGTTATAGCTCCAAATAGATCATGTTTAAATAATGTGACTAAACTGTCTACAACCTGTCTGATCAATGCAATGCCTTTCACACTCTGTTGTAGTATTTTTGCCAGGTTATCTCATAAAGTACAGCTTTATTAAACAGTATCTTGGCAAATGATGGTGAAACGTTTGAAAATAAGATAAAAGTTATAATAACAGAAGAGAAATTTTATTTAAAGTCAATAACTCCCCCCCCAAAAAAATTGAATTTATGAGCTTGAGCTATAGTTTTATGCGATTTAAAAAGCATAGAAAATCATTCACATTACGTGTACGCACACACACACACACACACACTCTCAAGCACAGACACAATGGGACTTCAGTGAAAGAGAAGCGGCTCTGAGTGGACAGGATGCAGGGCAAACTCCACAGGAAGCTCTGATAAGAGCACGACACTTATATCGCTCCTCACAACACAAAGGGGAACCTTTGACAGCTAGGAACCTTTAATGGATGTCTCGGCATGCCCTCTCCTCCGCCAGTTATATATGACGGATGTGTGTGGCACACAGGCCTGAATAAGTAGAGGAAAGTTGCTTGTACGGATAGATGTTGGTGACAAGGTACATATTATTTTCTGTTTGACAGAGGGCAGAAAATGGAAATGGCAGCTCAGAGTGCAGTGGTGATTGTGATTCTGATGTGAGATGGAGATATATGTAGACATGCAAGACATAAATGCTAGGTTATTGTGTGGCTCTGGGGACCATATTTATGAAGTGTGATCTTAGTTCCTTGTTGCACTGCCCTGGGTTTCAGTGTGTGAACACACCCTAGTTTGCATGTATTTGTCTACAATTTGTGTAACGGAGTAGCTTTCATAAGATTGTTGTCATTTTCACACTTCCTTTCCTTCCTGTTGAAAAACAGACAAAGATTTGTATTTTATGTTTAGGCACTGAAATCAGTGATTGGTAGTGATTAATGATATTGTGAAGCTTTTTTCATGTCAGAAGGTATCAAGGCAAACAATAAGTCATGACTATACAACTATATGTAAAAGTCTACTAAATTTGCTTTTCTTGGATTCAGGCATGTGACTACTGTATCACATAAAGACAGATAGATAAGCAGACTTAAAAAAAATAATAGCTACCTTAAAGATTTATTTGCACTGAAGGTTTATCTGCCTGTGAAAAACAGGAAATTAGCTCTCTGAACACTGTGAGAGAAGGCCGGATCTCCCCTAATTCACCTACTCATATCCTGGGGAAGTGGCAGACAAAGGAAAACAGGTTGTTTTAAAGAGAAAGAACAAAGACAAATTGCCTTTCAGTGTGGATCTTGCTTTTAATCGATCCAGATCAAGGATACACAACAACCTGTATAAAAACAAAAAAGAGAAATAAGGAAAAAGGGGGTGGGGATGCAATATTACATGTGCTTCCCCTTATAGCTGCTAGGGGGCAGACTGGCATGAAATCTATCCAGGTAGAAGAGCAGATGTGGAAATGAAGCTTCCCTTCCTCTCTGCAGCTGTAGACACATGCATATGCAAAACACAAGACTGTGGTGGTTGTAGACAATCTAAAAATGCCAGGCAGAGTAAGTATTACATGTACACATACACACTTTGTTTTACCCTGAGAAGAGGGCCAGTCACGGAACCAGAGCAGTGACAGTGACAGATTGAGTGGCTGTGAAGGGGGCTGCGGAGCTGGTTGTTAGAAGTGTTGCAAATTAAGGTGCAGGATGACTAACAAGAAATAAAGTGTGTGTGAGAGTGTGTATCCTTTCTGGAAAAGGGTCTGTTTCCAGTTGGGAGGCTCCTTAACATGCACACATGCATATCCCCACAGCCTCCGATGTGTTTGTGCACATTCACACACGTGTCTGTGTGTGTATATATGCATGTGTGTGATGGATGGGGCCCTGCAGAGATGACCCTAGCCTGCCACATCACTCAACAGTCTAAATGAGTCTGTGTCCATCCACATTTCTGTGTATGTGTGTGGAGGTGAGAGGTGGACAGGCACACAAGGGGTCCTGTCAATAAAACTTCTCTTAGAGCAAAAAGGAAAAAG